CAGCTGGAATCGGAAAGGCAAGATGCGCCTTCATCAACCTGAAACCAATTTAGGAATCTTCTTGATATGTATCCACATATATATATATATATATGTGTGTGTATGGTGATCTCTCTTTCTGTTTGCTCGCTTAGTCTGTGACCATTTCACTTTGATGAACCTGTCTCCTTTAACAATGTATATTCCCCTTATATTATATATATAATATGAGTGTTTGTTGACGGTCCGTTGCTTGGTGACATATATCCATATTATGTGTGGTTGTTGACATGTCTGCTATATTTTGCTATGTATATTTGGATCGATACTTCATTATAATTAACCATTCATGTTAAGACTGTCTATTGATTTGTTCACACACTTGTCTGGACGGTCATATATATATTTCGCTCTCACAATCTTGTGACTTTCACTTATTTTGGTGTGATACCACTTATTGCTTCTCCTTGTGTTTGGAAAATAGAAGTATCATCGCAAACCTAGTGTGGTCTTCTGATTTCCGTGTTTCTTGCGTCAGGACTATTAAATTCTCGACCAGTACATAATAATAATTTAGCGACGAGTACGTACATAACACTTCTGCAGTCAACATAAGAAATAAGATTCGGATTTTCAACACCAGTGTCAAGTTGATCCTTCTATACGGATCAGAAACTTGCACTATGTGTCACAAAAAAAAAGGATTTCCAACAGCCAGTGTTGCAGACTTTCATCAGCAGCTGCCTTCGCTGGTACCATACTCAAGATCAAACGGTCAGAAAGAAGCTGTGGGAATAAACCAACGAGCATGAGCCGGTCGCTCAACAAATATGTGGGAGAAAATGGAGATGGGTGTGGCATACGTTGATGGGGATGTCGAATGATATTGCACGCAGTACAGGTCAATGCTGTAGTGGAATCCGAATGGGCAGAGATGAGTGGGTCGTCCTAGGGTTACATAGAGAAGATCTGATTTTGGGGGGAGATGAGAGATTTCGGGCAATCATGGGCCAAGCTGTTGAAGAGTCCCAGACTAGGACGAAACAGTTGTCTAGTACTCCTAGCTGGTTTTTTCAATGGTTCTCTAACCAATGTCAGCTCATGATGAAATCTTGTAACCAGCCAAATCCCTATAAACCAACACTTGAATAATCGTATTAATGGCTGAAGAATAGATGTCCTATAGTTATGGTGAGAATCCATGGATAGTGGGGTCTACAGTGTCAGAAGGAAGTAGATTCTTGTCAATGGCATTGGTTAGCGTAGATTTATAATGCAAACTGACAGAAGTTAAGCTTCCAAGATTATGGAATTACTACCGACTTTTAACCTGAAGTTCTTGAATTCGACCCCTGATGGAATAATGTGTGTACGGTGATGAACAGTGCCAAGCTACACCGAGAGAGATGTCCAGCGCTCCTTGATTTTTAATAATCCTCCAGTTAATGTCATCCAGTGTGACGAAGTGTGCACTGAAATTAATCCCGAAATCTTAAAAGGAGTATTATGCTCTTTTCCTTTGATATGAATAAAAATGAGACAAGTGATGTAACCCGAATTCCTGCATTTTTTGAATTTTAAATGATTATATTGCTCTCTCAGTGGAATATATCAGTATAAGTGAATGATTTTTCTAGAAGAAGGAATCTTGGTTGTAAAAGTTTCAAAAAAGTGACATATTGACCATCTATTGGCTTAAGACACTTCCAATTGAGCCATGTCAGCATCATAGGGTAACAACAAGATAGCACACCTACCCTTGAGACATTCACTTTATCTGTCTATCTATCTCAAGCCTTCCTTAAGACTGAGACGTTTCCCATCCCTAATCAATTTACTCCTTCCCGTCCGTTTTCATAAATTTTGGTTAGAAATGCTGAGAAATTCAGTTATTTGCATAGGAATGAGGAAATTTTGTCGCCATGAAACTATTGGACCTTTAATCGAACGAGAGTTAACGAACGCCAAGAACCGGTCAGTTAATAGTAAGTCAGTGAAACCAGTTAAATAAGACTTTATTTCATACAAAAGTGTTCAAAGAAGTGTACTTATCCTACATGGAATATGTGTTCTTCACAGCATTGGAAGAATAACGTCTATTTTCTCAAAGGAGTGTTTATATTCATCCAAATGACCATAACTTATGTTCAAGAGCTAAAATTAAGCTTAGATTAGGGTTATACTAGGGAAAGCTTTATTTCTAACAGGCTACTGCTTTCTTAGTGGTCAAGAAGACCAAGCAACAAGGAACTGCAGCAGGCAGCTAACCAAGAACATTTTATCCAACAAATATTAGGAAGGAAGTGGGAATGAGTTGAAAACACGCTGAGGGGACTTTCAAGTGACATCACACACCATGTTCTTGAATAGAACCGGAATGATAAGAGGCTAATCTAACGTCGGAGAGTGAAGTGAAGGAGATTACATGGAGAGAAAATGAAAGCTTATGGGTGGTAGTGGAACCATTTAAAAAGGTGTGACAGAATAGAATTTCAAGGAGATGTTTAGTTAAAGTCTTATGTTTAACTCAGAATGCAATGATAATAACAAAAATGGGAAGAAATTTAGAACAGGTTAGTATTAAATACTAGTTAATCAGTTTAGCCTTACATAAGAGATAGGAAGTGAACAGAAAATATACTACAAATAACAGGTACTAGACATTATTATAGCTCAGAGAGATGAGAACTGGTGGACTGGATTATGCGTCAGAATGTGGGGAAAGAGAAGGCAGAATTACGCTGGACCACCGTTAAGAAGACTAAAGAAGATCTGTATTTTGCAGATGATGTATATCTACTGTCACATAAACTCTAAGAATTGTACGCGAAAATGAACAAAGTGGCTGAAGAGGCGAGGCAGGAGGTGAAGACAGGACTTCAGGTGAACACAGAGAAGATGGAGGCGATTAAGATAATCGACAAACAGCACCAATCACTATCAGCAGAAGAAATTTGATAGAGGTTACTTCCTTTCTCCACCTATCTAGGAAGCACCGTTTCAACCACAGTCGGAACAAATGGAGATGTCAAAAACAGCCGACCAGAATCAAGAAGGCGGGGAACACCTTCATCAATCTAAAATCACTTTGAGAATCTTCCGCACTTAGCTTAAACGAAAAAAAATTCAGATTTTAAACATCCCATGTCACCAAAATATTTTCCAACGGGTCGCAGAGTTTTATCAACAGCTGCCCACTTCGCTCTATACTCCAAATCAAATGGCCTCCCAGGAAGGATTAACAACAAGAAGCTGTGGGAACAAATCAACTAAAGACCTATTGCTCAACAAACATGTAGGATAAAATGGAGATGGATTGAGCACATCCTGAGAAGACTGGCGAATGACATTGCACGCTCGAGTGAAACCCTATCGGGAAACGATGAGTGGGTTGTCGGTGCGAGGGTGACTTGGGGAGATCGTGCGAGGTTGAGATGAAAGACTATGAGGAAACATTGGGTCAGCTAGAGAGGACTTCAGAGAATTAGACAAAGCTGAGACGAACTGTTGAGGCCCTATATTCTACTCGAAACCCAAGGGGACAACAATAATAATAATAATACACTACAGCACGTTACTTTTCTTTAAATCCCGAATAGAAGTCATTATTACTAATCAGTTTATATTTTCTCACGGAAATCCACCTTTTTTCAACGTAATTAATCTACTTAATATCATCGATGTTCTCTTTTTGTTTGGGGACTTAGAATTTAGTGTCGCCTATATTTGAAAGAAGTCATAGGATAAATCAGCAAGTATGCTGAAATGTTCTCACAGTATTTTGTCTTGTTTGAACTAACCAAAACACACACAAGTTTTAGTCTTTCGTCTCCACTATTCCAAAAAATGTATGGGTGCTGCAATTTTTACCAACACCGTCAGCCTTATTACCGTGTCGAATAAATTTCTGAGATACGTTTGGCAAGTGTTTACTTTTTTCAACCAATATAATTAGGTCCTCAGGAATAGGTGATTTTATAAACATGCTGAAGAAGTCAGTATGTGCTTAAAGAATTCGTCGACCATTTGCTGACTTTAGAAGTCTATCTGCGGCTCAGTCGAAAAGAAAACCTGATTATGTGATTCTTCAGAATCGTAGTCGTGGTATCACCTTCCCATTCAACATTCATCCATGGCAGTGTATCAGGCATGCTATTGATTCTTTCAAATTTCTGCTTTACTGTCACGTTTTTATCGATGAATATTGTACTGTATTTACTGTAATTGCGATCCTTTCACTTGATCGTTGATCTGTATTACTGGCACAAATCCTTATTACTTTTGAAGATAAGCAGTGGATCAGGTCTGTCTTCCCGCTTGAAAATTCACGTATTGATCACATCTTGTTGGTTCCCTATTGATTATTTTCCGAAAAAAATCCATCAGTTTTGTTCTTGGACAAAATATCCAAAAACTGGAATTCAGAGTTGATCTCGGATAGAATGGTGTCCATTACTGATCTTCTTCTTTTTAACCCTGATGTCAGCAGCTTCGATACCTTTTATGGGATATCATTCTTGCATCTTTGTTACATATGAAAACATTCAATTTGTGGATCGTATGAACACTTTATTTTTCAGTCTACAAGCAGAGCACTCGTTGACTACCGCACTGTCATTCCATCTTAATTGTTTGTACACTAAAAGTGCAATTGAGCAGTAGTTATTTCCTCTTCTTTTTTAACCTCACCTTTTTCGCATCTATCAGGTAGACATTCAGCTACCTTACTTGTCATCTTAAAGCAATTTTCATCTTATCAAATTTCAAACTTCTCCTCCCATTTTAGAAACCACATCTGACTTACAGTATCAATAATACATTTCACATGCAAATAGTCTGACATGATCAAGTTTAAATTAGAAGGAAAATCAATTTATCGATTTTTCAGAACAATATAAATATAGTACAGTGAGAATCTATATTCTGAGAATTTCATAGTTTATTTAAACTTAATATACATCACAATAAGCCATTATTCTTATTCTTAGTATTATTAATATTTGTTTTACATATTTACTCACCATTAACTTCTCATCGTCATCTTCCGCATCATCAACTGATCCACGAGGTTGTTCACTTGCTCTTGGCGTACCCATCTGTGATGACTATAAAATGTTTTACTTTATTAAGTCAAAATAAGTTACCTAACTCTTTATATATATGTATGTATGTAATCTCTTTTTGTTCTCACTTCAAAATCAATAATTAAATAACACCCAAGTGATCAAAATAGAACTTCAAATTTGTGTCAGAATTAGTCTTCAAGCAATAGCTGATATTTGTTTGCCCAACTGACTTCATATAATATAATATTTTAGACAAAAAGTCAAACCCATACACATGTTCATGTATGAGTACATGTATCTATCGTTGATTGGTTTAAATTATCCAACCAATCAGATTTCAGCATTGAAAAATTGAACAATCATATCGCTCACTATCTTTTTGTTTAATTAAATTAATTTAGTAAATATTAAAGATATTTTTAAAAAAAGTAGGGTAAATTAGGTGAGAAAAATTTAATTATCACTTATGAAGAGAAGTCTAGAGGAATTTTTTATTTTGTTTTGTTTTGTTTTCAAATATAAACCACTAACAACAATAGTGAAGTGGAATTCATTCAAATAAGTAATTGATTACAGTTCGACTATTTTTATTGGTTTTAAACCAAACATGAAGTACTTTGTATGATAATTAACCATTATGATTGGAGAGTGTACAGACACATGAACACTCACAAACACACAGCCACACAGAGTCACGCGGGATAAATGAAATTAAACACATATTCATATAACGAACTCATAATATGATAAGGTAAAAGGAACACATTGTCTCTGTTATCTTTACTTCTCACCAAGCATTTATACACACACCCAATCCTGTAGAGGGTTGACGCCCAAAATTTGCAGTTTTACCCTTTTTCTCTTTTCCTTCCCTGTCTCTCTTTCGAATAAAATTTACAATAATCATCAACGTCATCATCATCGAATTTACAGTGAGTTAACTTTGTTTCAAACGAAGTCGACCCTATATTCTTATTTATTCATACAAAGTCTTTTGATAAAAAAAACTAGGCAAGTTTCAAGCTAACTTGGTCTCTCACTATCTCCCCTCTTGATCCATTTTCTTTTTTACACAATGATATCATCTTTCTGATCAATAAGAATTAATACTTTCAATAACAACGGGGAAATAAAGCGCATTTCACCCCTTTTTTCAAACGTTACTTACACACACACGCACTACAAATTGACGTTACCATGGTATTGTATCACTCCTCTATTTAAAAAAAGAATCGCAGGAAACTTTTCGAAAACACAAATAAAAAAATAAATAAAATATTTAAGTAAATAACATTTTTCGAAAAAATTAAAAATAGAATAACTCAGTCAAACTAAAAGATAGATAATAATTATAATAATAATGCTAAATAATGTGATAGTAATCGTGAGAAATATTCTGTGTATGACCTTGCATATATTCTTTTTTTGCTTGCTTTACCATATGGCAACCATGGTAACCGCCAGTATCGCTTAGTCGATTCGGGATCGTGATGGAATAATAGTTATATTACAGGGAGACGAGTTTATAAAAAGTAGTAGACAATGTTTTAAAAAACGATATATGTATATATATCACCAGTCTCCAGTCGATTGTTATAGTATGTATGCGTATGTATGTATTGACCTATGCACGTACGTGTATGCCAGAAGGTTTTAGTAGTGATGTTTTCCTTGAAGAATAATGATTGACAAAAAGATGGGTAAGGAATCTGGAGAAAGAGAGAAAGACAGAGTGACGTATACGTCAAAGATGGGGATAAAACACGGTATACAAATATGAGATTTCGGTGTTGAGCTAAGCGAATATGTATTCAGTTAATATATTCAATATGGATTGACTTTAAGCTGATACAGGCAGTTGGTAACTAGTAGAGTCGATCAAAAATTGACAGTGAAGAATTATGGTTGACTGCTGAAAACCTCATGAAAACGTGCAAACTACTTTAGGCTGTTTGTAAGATGAACTGTTTCAGACAAGACTGGACTTAAGGTGAACATAGAGAAGATGGAGGGGGTGCAGATACCGTACCAAGGAAAACTATAACAAGTATGTATGGTATACGAGGTCCTGGGTTTGAACCTCACAGGTGGGTACGTACTGATGAAGAGTCCCAAACCAGGACGAAACAGCTGTCCAGTACTCCCAGGTTTTCCAATGGTTCTCTAACCAATGTCAGCTCATGATAAATCTGTAACCAATCAGCTCATGATTAAATCCTGTAACCAAAGTATTAAGAAAGCTAGCCAGCAGCCAGATCGAGGCAGTCTAGATGCGGGAAAGTTGTTTCACTCGTTTTTTTGGGTTCAACAATTCATCAATAGTATTCCTGGCTTGACTTGGCTCAGACAGCCGATTAAATTCAAACCACTGGAATTCTGTATGTTTCTTATCAATCATATGCCTAGCGGTTGCAATTACAAACATTTCCCTACTTTGTATATCAGAACTTTTTGGGATCAGTGATTAGTGCATGCTACGATTTATAGAAAATTCCCGTTAGGACAAATAGGAAATTAAAACAAATGATTCAACGAAGAGAATCTCCTCACAGAATTTATTTTTCAAGATGTACACTCGTATACACGTGACTGTTTTAAGCGGTAAGTTGAATTTTGACAAAATATTTTGGATTTATTAGCTATGTGACAATGCTTGTCATGTGTTATGTGATCCAAAACGTAAAACTCAGCGAGGCGCTAGAAGTGAATACAGAAGTAAGTGTAGCAATTTATTGTAGTCGTAGTATTACTATTTCAAGATGACCGAATTACAAGAATCCAAACAAAACACAGAGAGGGCGGAATTCAGGAATTTGTATTTAGCGGAATTATTCTGCAATTCATATAAGAAACATATTAACAATCAACAGTAAGTATTTAAACAATACAGAGATAGAAATTGTCAATCACCACATCCGCCACACGTCGAATGTCTCCTTGCGTATTTATAACGATGTCTCGGTTTGCTTGCAAGTAGCTGCGACCTTCTAACTGATTCTGTGATATCATTTTCATCAGTATTATCTGGACTTATTTCTGAATTATCTACAAAATCGGGATTAGTAACGGAATCATTAATACTATAATTGGAACGACCTACTTCATTTATTGTCACTTTGTCCAGATGTCTGTTATGAACTGAGTGATCTTTGATGTCTAATATCTTCACCACTCGATTTCCCATTTTTTGTAGTACAATTCCAACAGAAGGTCTATAGTCATTACCTTTGTAATAATGTACATTAGAAGTCGTGGACATCAGATGCTTTTTGAGAATTCGAGATTTGAAAAGTTTTGCAGGACTTTCACGGGTACTTGTATGCTCTGCATTCAACAGACGCAGTCTATGCATATGCAGCAATTCCTCCATTTTAATCAGTTGCTCTCTCATCTCATTCAGTTTTTTCGTGTTTTCGACAGTTCGCATTGTAACTCGGCTACCACATTTTTGAAAACAGTTGACACTTGAGTTGCCGAACTTGTAGTGGAGGTTTTCATTGGATGAGCTTGAGTATTTTGAAAGGTTGAAAGACACATTGACTCCATTTTACTAGACAGCTTGGGAGAATTATAAGAATGTTGAGCAACATAAGTATTCGAACTTCTGCAAACAGTCTTGATGTGTCCAACTTTACCACATTTATGACACTTAGCACCCCGAAAACGGCAAGTGCTTCGTAGATGTAACTTTCCACAGGATAAACACGGTTTAATGTTTTTGATCTCGCGCTGCATTCTATTACCTGTGGACGACAGTTTGGATTTCTTTCCATAAACACTTGTATTTTCGACTTTGGATAACATGACATCAGATACTGACGTAGTGGGAGCAGAGTATTCACTGTTGACATCTTCATATGTAATACATAAATCTTTAGCAGTTTGAAAGGTACAAGAAGGAATCTAAATTAACTCTTTCTCCAACTTAGGAATATTGATTCCAGCAATTAGACGATCACGTAGTTGAGTATGCAGCTGATCTCCAAAGTTACACTTTGAAGCTTGAATTTGAAGTTGAAGAATAAAGTCTCTTATCATCTGCTTGGGAGCACGAACCAGTTTGTTGAATTGAGCCCTCTCTCTGGTCTCAAATGTAGTTACATGAAAGTGATTTATCAGAAGTTCACGAATCTTGACATATGACAGAGAAATAGGTTTATCTGGAAACGCCAGATTCTTCACTAGGCTATATGCATCTAGCCCAATTGCAGTGATGAAATGTGCTGGTATTTTGTCATCCCGAACGTTCTTTGAAATGCTTCACGCATCGAAGCATTCCAAATAATCAACAATCTCTCGCGGAGAACCATTAAGAGGAAATTTTCCCAGGTTATTTAGTTCTGTCGCGACGCCAATTTGTAGTAATTTATTGTAGTCGTAGTATTACTATTTCAAGATGACCGAATTACAAGAATCCAAACAAAACACAGAGAGGGCAGAATTCAGGAATTTGTATTTAGCGGAATTATTCTGCAATTCATATAAGAAACATATTAACAATCAACAGTAAGTATTGAAACAATACAGAGATAGAAATTGTCAATCACCACAGTAAGACAAGTTGGCTGCCTATTATCGCCAACGATGGCATTCTTAATTGTGGTGGACTGGATTATGCGTCAGAATGTGGAGAGTGGAAAGATTTAAATACACTGAATTACCGATAAAAAGACTGTAGAAGATCTGGATTTCGCAGACGATTTATATTTGATGTCATACAAAATCGAAGCATTACAGCCGAAAACCTACAGTCTGGTAGAAAAAGCAGCGAGGATAGGACTGCAGATGAACATAGAGAAGACAAGAACAACCAGTACAAATCACCATAAACAGGAGAGATTTGAAAAAGGTTACATCCTTCACTTATTTAGGAAGTATCGTCTCCACCAAAGGCGGCCAAAGAGCACGGATGAAGTTGTCAAAGCCGGTCACAATAGGAAAGACAAGATAAATCTTCATACACCTGAAACCAGTTTGGAAATCTTCTGCTTCACTCACTGCGCAGCATAAAAAAAAAGGTGCAGATTCTG